CGGCGTATATAAATGTCTTATGTGGATAGTGTATACGTGATCAAGTTTCAAATTTTTTAGGATTGGACGGAGTTAAGATTTTTTATTAATTTTTCTGGCATTTGAAACTTTTTAGTTTTTGCCTTAGAACTCTAGGTGGATCGAAGCAGGTATAGAAACAAGAGTGCCGTATAATATGTGGTATGTGGTAAAGCAGTATTCTAAAGCACTTCCAGAACGTTATGAAAAGCTAATTATGTGCTATTTGCTGCCCAGCTGGCAACAAAAACTGCGCCTCTTGACATGCACCCGTTTTACATGGTGTTTTCCGATTTTCAATAATTTTTTGCATTTTCTACTTTACACATCTTTTTTTTGCTCTCTTTTTCTAAAAAGCAAATCACTTTTCCGAGGGCAGGGGCATTTAGACAAACACTTTCCAGGCTCTATCATTAGACTGACGAAGGCATGTTTGCACGTAGCCTTCACACGTACGCTACGATACGCTATACACTATAAGCTATACGATATACGATACGCTTGCCCTTTTGTAACGTCACTCTACATAAGCAGTTTTCTAGGTAGTGCTGAGCTCAGAGAGGTTAGGTAGAAACGGTGTGCTGAGTAGGCCAGTGTTTACATATCCAGAGATAACGCAGAGAATTTACGATGCAGACAATAATGGCACAATAGTTATGAAAGTACAAATTACCGGATAATACAGCTGCGGATGTCCCTCCAGCGATGTTGACGGTGGCACTCCAGGAAAGGGCAGCGAAGGAGGGGGAGCAGCACTCCACGTACGAGCATGCGGTAAGGTAGCCGATGAGATGTAGGTGGATGGATTCTGAAGCGGACAGCTCAGCGACCATTCCGAAAAGCGGTATCGAACACACCTGAGCTGCTTGCTGTTGTTGTGGCTGTTGCTGTGACTGAACACCTTCAACAACAGATGGCAGTGACGATCCTGGATATGTACCGGGAGGATAAGGAATACCCGTTGGCGGTAATGGTAATGCACTAAATTGCATGGGAATAGGATAGCCGGTAGATTGTGGCATGGGTACAGCCGTGGATCTGAAATAGGGTAACCACAGAGTAATGTATTTAACTGCTCGACCAATAAATGTGAGAAAAACTCGGCATGGTTCAACCAGCTGCTATGCTTTATGAATAAGACGTTATATCCAAGTATTGTGTAAAAT